AATAATTATTTATTCACTTCGTTTTAGAAAACCTTTCACATGACAAATTTATATTTTAGTTTCCTTATTTATTCAAATAACATATATTTTTCTGTTTCAGTTATTGTTCTCATTTCCATTCCCACTACTCAAACTGCACCTTCATGGCGTCCCTCACTCCCGGCGTCCTCTCCAAGCTCCTAGAGAATGCCGGCAGCAAGGTAACCGCCGCACACCGCCAGGCCCTTCTCCAGGTCACGGAGATCGTGCCGCGTCTCTCCTCCACCTCCGCCCTGCAGACCCGCGGCTACTTCATCAAGCTCTCCGACTCCCTCCACTCCGCCTTCGTCTCCGTCCCCGACGACGACGCCCACCTCATCTGCTCCGACAAGCTTCAGCTCGGCCACTTCGTCTACATCACCCGCCTAGACCGCGCCTCCCCCGTCCCCATCGTCCGCGGCCTTACCGTCCTCCCCAAGCGCCATCCCTGCGTCGGCAACCCAACCGAGCTCCTCCCCGGCGCGTCCCTCCACGCGCTCCAGAGCCAGACTGAGGAGGTGAAGAAGAGGGTCGCTGAGAAGAAGGTGGAGACGAGGAGGTTGAGTTTGGACTCTGCGAGAAGGGTCTGGGATCATAGCCCTGTTCGCAAGGAGAAAACCGGTTCTGCGAGTTCCGGTGGTGGTAAACTCAAGCACAAGAAATCCAACCCCACTTCGCCTAACGTGTGTTGCTGTTCTTTTTCTGCTGTTTTCTTCTTCTTTCAATCATTTACTCACATGTGGGGATGTGTGGAGAATAGAAGGGAAGAAAAAAGAGGGAAAAGGAAGTATCTTTGTTTTTTTTTGGTAGAGAGAAAAATTATTTTTGTATGTGGGAATGAATTTTTTAAATTCAAAATTTTTAATGGACTTTCTTTGTTTTTCATTCACCGTTCCAAGTTCCTATTTTGGCAGGGAGTATGATGGATGGAAAATAAGAGAAAAATTTTAAAATTTGAATTGACATGGAGAGGAAAAAAGGATTTTTTATTTATCAAATAAATATTTTTTTTTCTTTCACTTTTTCTTCGAGTAAAAGNTAGAGTTTGTTGAAGACATGGCGATGCGTCAATGGTGGGGCATATGTGAACAAGTGGAGGCAGTGACAATTAGAGGCACAATGGTGACATTTGACACGATGATAATTACATCACTATGTTTCGAGGAAAGAGAGTAAAATATGAAGTGATGACAAAAGTTGTGATCGTAACCAACATCGGTAGTAGAGGTTCCAAGGCATGAAGGAGGTGTAGTCGCAATGGAGGTTCTAGGGGCGGAGAAGGCACGAGCCAACAAAGATTCTAAGGACGGAGGATGTGTGGGTGTAGTGAAGGTTCCAAGGGTTCGGGTTGCTCTATTTTACAGATTGTCGGCAACCAACAAACAAACAACCATGGAGCTCAACGACTAGGAAATAAGGCAATGCATAAAGAAGAGCAACACTACGTAAGGAGATAGGCGAAGATAAAAAAGGCTAGTGATACCATGTATGAGAGAGAGTAATTTAAATGTGTATCTTATTATTTATTGGAGATAAGTATATATACTTACCAATATGATCTAAGTAGGTATGTAATTATGCACACCACGTATTTGATTAGCTTAATTACATGAGATTAATTGCTAATTGGCTTAATTTCAAAAGAATAATTTGAATTTTGTGAGGGTCAGCTAAATAAATTGACTTTACTCATCAAAACCATATTTAAAATTCAGTTTAATAAACTATACACCTTAACATGCATAATTTAGCCACCAAATAAACTTCTAAATAACAACACTCAATTCTAAATATTTTAAAACAAGAAGTTTATCAACTCAAAACTCAAATAACATTCCATTTCAAACATTAAATAACTTTCAACCAAAAAGATATTATTGCATAAAAACCAAAATCTTATAAACAAATAAGTCTCTTTCACATCTAAATCATTTATCCAAAGGTTATGTGAAGAAACATAAATTGCTTGAATTACCTGTAATTCCTTATTCCAAAGAAAATTCTACATGAAAAATTAACTTATTCAAAATCTAGGAACATAGAAGAAAGATTCAACACAATCAAATTTCAAAATCATTTCAACAAGTTTATGATAAATTTTTTAATCGACTCCACCAATATTAATAATAAGACCATAAGAAAAAAGAGAACAATAAATGTAACAACCTAAATGAGTAGGTATCACACTAAGAATTTATTCATCACATAATTAATAACAATAAAAAACCTCATGAAATATACATATACATAATATACTTACATTCTTCAAAAATGTATTTCAAAATTTGTCAAAGAATAACATAAACATCACAATCCTTAAAGAAACTATAAAATATAATAATATACATATATAAAAGTTCCACTTTAACATTTTAAAAGCTTTGTAGTCTCCACCACCTGCACGATCTTCTACTAATGTATAACATACGATCATTATAAGTAAATATCATTCACAAAATAGAAACAAAAGATAAACTAGTAAAAATTAACAATACTACATAAAACAATATTATCCTTAAACCAAAACCAAATAGTTCAACCATATATAAGTTAATTTTGTGTTCCATTATCTCTATTTATATCATACACACTAGTGCAAAAATAGTATATAACGTCACATGTTCAATGTCCAACCACTAAATAGTCAACATTAAAAATGATCGGCGACATTTTTATAAATAAATGCAATTTTTAGATGTAGTTTAGAATTGTAAAACGTCGAAGCTCTATACAATTCGACGTTCTATGATGGTAATTATTTAAACTAGTGCGCCATTCTTTTTCTTCTTTCTTTTAAACTATCAATAGTAACGTCGAATTCTATAGGGGCTTCGATGTAATATTTGTCAGCCAGAAGCCAAAGAGTCACCCTTTTTAATTCTTTTTTCTTTTAAACCATAAAAAAATGTGTTAGACGATATCTCTGAAGTAGATGGCGGTTGATAGAAAAATTATGACCATAATTGCCAGTATAAGTACTGTATCCAACATGAAACTTATGGTTGATGGTAAAACATCTATTCTCTCGTTGAAAACTCATTGGATCTTCATAAATTTCTCGAGATATTTTCTTACGAAGTTTTGTTATAGCATCTATAATGTCCTCCAGTTTAGGTGGACAGCCCGACAAATATACATCTACAGGAATTAGCTTATCTACGCCTCGAATAGTACTATAAGAATCGGTACTAAACATCCCCGTAATTGTACAGGCTCCCATAGCAATAACAGGCATTTGTTGTCGAATTCTGAAGAGGCTTCGACATATTATTTTTCAGCCAAATGCCAAAGAGTTACCCCTTTTAATTTTTTTTTCTTTTTTCTTTTAAACAACAAATAATACGTCGAATTCTTCAGTGGCTTCGACGTATTATTTGCCCGCCAGAAGCCAAAATGTAACCCCATTTTTAATTCTATTTTCTTTTTTCTTTTAAACCACAATATGTCGAATTCTATAGGGTCTTCAACATATTCTGTAGTGAATTCAGTAAAAATTTAAGCGGAAGATTGAAAATTCATTCACTTTCTCTTAGCGCGCAAGACTCCTGTTCTATTCTCAAACTTTTCTCGAACGAAGTTTGATGACCATCTCATGTAATCTTTCTTTCATTTGATACAAATGCATGTTAATTAACTACTTTATGTATGATTTTCGTTTGTTTTGACTGATTATTTTCGTTTGTTTTGACTGATTCTACTTTCTCTCTCACTGGTGACGACACTTTATTCCGAAAAACCCACCTTTTGAAGGTTTTGTTTTGAATAACTTATTTGTTGAACTTGTTTGTTGTTTTTTTTGTTGAACTTGTTTGTTGTTATTTGGTTGAACTTGTTTGTTGTTATTTGGTTGAACTTGTTTGTTGTTATTTGATTGAACTTGTTTGTTGTTATTTGGTTTAACTTGTTTGTTGTTATTGTTTGTTGTTTGTTATTATTTGTTGTTGATACTATACTACATTTTCATAGTTCATACTTTATAAAATACCAAAAACTGAAATTTGTTGTTTTTTATGCTTTGTAAGTCTTGTAGAGTTGTTAAAAAAGGTCACAATTAATTAAAAAATAATAATTAACGTCGAATATCGACAAATTTCGACGATAATTTGATAACTGTCGAACTTTTTAAATTCTGTGAAAGTAAAAAACAACGACGGTATTTTTATAATAGTGACAATTTGATTATATAATAAAAATCAATTTGGCAAACATAGTTTTCAAATATGTAGAACTTTTGATATCTGAATTATGTTCACATTCCAAAATCTATCTATATTAAATGAATAATTAACAACAAAAATAAAATGCCTATCCAATAATACAAGCCTTACGATCATCAAAACACAACCCTCGTAACTTAACTTTCTTGAAACATAACATAAACATTTAATTTTAGTTATATAAGACCAGTTCAATGTTTTTTCATGCTCCGAATTCTAACAGCTTTCTTCAACTCATAATAATAATAATAATAATAATAAATATAAAGAAATAATAACCTGTGTGAACCCTGAGCCTTGTACTGTCCATTGTGCTGTCCCACTCTATGTAATGAAACTCACTTTTTTTTTCCCTCTGTTTCTTCACTCAAATATAAAGAAAGGTGACATCTCTGGTTTGCCATGTGTAATCACCCTTCTGCGTCTGTCACACCTGCACCTTCCCCCCCACACTCCTTCCTCTGTCTCACTCTCTAACTCCAACGTTAGATTTTTTTCACAAAATCACATATTATATCAAATATTTAAATTATATTTTAAATATTTCTTCCTTTTCACCTTCACCCTACTAGGAATAAAAGAGAAAGTACTACAGTTATTCTGGTGGGAATAAGGTACGGGAAGTAAAGAAGTCCAAATATTAAATTTATGTTGAGAGTTATCCTTTTCTTTAAATGATTTTTTTAAAGATAGTGAATATTCATTAAAACAAGAAAAATAATTATTTATTCACTTCGTTTTAGAAAACCTTTCACATGACAAATTTATATTTTAGTTTCCTTATTTATTCAAATAACATATATTTTTCTGTTTCAGTTATTGTTCTCATTTCCATTCCCACTACTCAAACTGCACCTTCATGGCGTCCCTCACTCCCGGCGTCCTCTCCAAGCTCCTAGAGAATGCCGGCAGCAAGGTAACCGCCGCACACCGCCAGGCCCTTCTCCAGGTCACGGAGATCGTGCCGCGTCTCTCCTCCACCTCCGCCCTGCAGACCCGCGGCTACTTCATCAAGCTCTCCGACTCCCTCCACTCCGCCTTCGTCTCCGTCCCCGACGACGACGCCCACCTCATCTGCTCCGACAAGCTTCAGCTCGGCCACTTCGTCTACATCACCCGCCTAGACCGCGCCTCCCCCGTCCCCATCGTCCGCGGCCTTACCGTCCTCCCCAAGCGCCATCCCTGCGTCGGCAACCCAACCGAGCTCCTCCCCGGCGCGTCCCTCCACGCGCTCCAGAGCCAGACTGAGGAGGTGAAGAAGAGGGTCGCTGAGAAGAAGGTGGAGACGAGGAGGTTGAGTTTGGACTCTGCGAGAAGGGTCTGGGATCATAGCCCTGTTCGCAAGGAGAAAACCGGTTCTGCGAGTTCCGGTGGTGGTAAACTCAAGCACAAGAAATCCAACCCCACTTCGCCTAACGTGTGTTGCTGTTCTTTTTCTGCTGTTTTCTTCTTCTTTCAATCATTTACTCACATGTGGGGATGTGTGGAGAATAGAAGGGAAGAAAAAAGAGGGAAAAGGAAGTATCTTTGTTTTTTTTTGGTAGAGAGAAAAATTATTTTTGTATGTGGGAATGAATTTTTTAAATTCAAAATTTTTAATGGACTTTCTTTGTTTTTCATTCACCGTTCCAAGTTCCTATTTTGGCAGGGAGTATGATGGATGGAAAATAAGAGAAAAATTTTAAAATTTGAATTGACATGGAGAGGAAAAAAGGATTTTTTATTTATCAAATAAATATTTTTTTTTCTTTCACTTTTTCTTCGAGTAAAAGATCTGAACTGCATTTAAGTTTGTGTTTTATTTTAAATTCTTAGTTTGTTTGGTGAATGAAAGGTTTTTCCTTTTGGATCCCTTGGGCTGTTTGTTGTAAATTTTGCATGGGTTTTCTATGAATGGGTGGTTTAATAGAGGGTTTGTCAGGGATTGAGTGAGTGTGTTCTTATAGTATGTATTTGATGGCGGACATGTTATAGTAGTCATTAAGTTGTGTTCAGCAATGTCCCAAGTTTAAGGTTGTAGATTTTTAAGGAAACGTGAGGTTGTCGTCCCACTGCTGAATGTTGTTGTTTTCCTTTTGTTAAATCACCGTTTTGGATAAATGGGGGCCCTCTTTTTTTATAATTTTTTTGCGCTTTTAAAAGGCTTTAATTTCTGTTGTTGTGGACCACGGCCACAGTTTTTTCTTCGTAAGCTTTGAAACGTTGTCAATTTTTTTTGGCAATGAATTATGTAAATGTGTTTCGTGAACGTTTGAGGTCAATATGGTAGGGCCTTTGGTTGAGGGTACTTTTGAGGGTGCTACAAGCTCTGATGTCTGCACTGCATGTAGCAAGATTTTAACACTTTTACTCTGATGTTGTATGAGACAAAAAGGTTTATTTTTATGCGTCGTTTGTTGTGTTTTAGCTTTCTTGAAGCTTATTGGGGGTACATGGTGTATGATGCTGTAGGTGATAGACAAGAAGCTTTCTACTAAAGCTGATTCTCCGCTAAAATCTCCAACTTCTAGTGTCTCACCCTTGAAGAAAGAAAACGAGAATCTGTGTCCAAAATCATTGACAAACACTCCTCTGAGGAAGAGTACTGGCAGTAGGTCACCCTGTGGTGGCACTGTTCATACCCAACTAGTAAAGGTTCCCCTCAATTTCAAGACTTGGTCTTACGATACTCCTGAATCTTGGGATGATCTCTCACCCTCCATGTGTGATCTTGCAAAGGTATTGAACTGGGTTTGTGTCTTGCTAATATTCAAACTTGCTCGCAACCATCTCTAGTTTTTGAATTTTGTTGTGTCACTCTTTTGCAGCAAGTTGTAGGTCTTAGAAATTTTACTTTTTTGGTGGCTGTGCGGTCTCTTGAAGAAGCATCTGCTACAGATACTGTGATCCAATGCATGTGGTATTTATTTATTTAATATTTTTATTGTAGACAATACAGTTCTTATGTTTTTGTCACCTCANTAAAAATTAACAATACTACATAAAACAATATTATCCTTAAACCAAAACCAAATAGTTCAACCATATATAAGTTAATTTTGTGTTCCATTATCTCTATTTATATCATACACACTAGTGCAAAAATAGTATATAACGTCACATGTTCAATGTCCAACCACTAAATAGTCAACATTAAAAATGATCGGCGACATTTTTATAAATAAATGCAATTTTTAGATGTAGTTTAGAATTGTAAAACGTCGAAGCTCTATACAATTCGACGTTCTATGATGGTAATTATTTAAACTAGTGCGCCATTCTTTTTCTTCTTTCTTTTAAACTATCAATAGTAACGTCGAATTCTATAGGGGCTTCGATGTAATATTTGTCAGCCAGAAGCCAAAGAGTCACCCTTTTTAATTCTTTTTTCTTTTAAACCATAAAAAAATGTGTTAGACGATATCTCTGAAGTAGATGGCGGTTGATAGAAAAATTATGACCATAATTGCCAGTATAAGTACTGTATCCAACATGAAACTTATGGTTGATGGTAAAACATCTATTCTCTCGTTGAAAACTCATTGGATCTTCATAAATTTCTCGAGATATTTTCTTACGAAGTTTTGTTATAGCATCTATAATGTCCTCCAGTTTAGGTGGACAGCCCGACAAATATACATCTACAGGAATTAGCTTATCTACGCCTCGAATAGTACTATAAGAATCGGTACTAAACATCCCCGTAATTGTACAGGCTCCCATAGCAATAACAGGCATTTGTTGTCGAATTCTGAAGAGGCTTCGACATATTATTTTTCAGCCAAATGCCAAAGAGTTACCCCTTTTAATTTTTTTTTCTTTTTTCTTTTAAACAACAAATAATACGTCGAATTCTTCAGTGGCTTCGACGTATTATTTGCCCGCCAGAAGCCAAAATGTAACCCCATTTTTAATTCTATTTTCTTTTTTCTTTTAAACCACAATATGTCGAATTCTATAGGGTCTTCAACATATTCTGTAGTGAATTCAGTAAAAATTTAAGCGGAAGATTGAAAATTCATTCACTTTCTCTTAGCGCGCAAGACTCCTGTTCTATTCTCAAACTTTTCTCGAACGAAGTTTGATGACCATCTCATGTAATCTTTCTTTCATTTGATACAAATGCATGTTAATTAACTACTTTATGTATGATTTTCGTTTGTTTTGACTGATTATTTTCGTTTGTTTTGACTGATTCTACTTTCTCTCTCACTGGTGACGACACTTTATTCCGAAAAACCCACCTTTTGAAGGTTTTGTTTTGAATAACTTATTTGTTGAACTTGTTTGTTGTTTTTTTTGTTGAACTTGTTTGTTGTTATTTGGTTGAACTTGTTTGTTGTTATTTGGTTGAACTTGTTTGTTGTTATTTGATTGAACTTGTTTGTTGTTATTTGGTTTAACTTGTTTGTTGTTATTGTTTGTTGTTTGTTATTATTTGTTGTTGATACTATACTACATTTTCATAGTTCATACTTTATAAAATACCAAAAACTGAAATTTGTTGTTTTTTATGCTTTGTAAGTCTTGTAGAGTTGTTAAAAAAGGTCACAATTAATTAAAAAATAATAATTAACGTCGAATATCGACAAATTTCGACGATAATTTGATAACTGTCGAACTTTTTAAATTCTGTGAAAGTAAAAAACAACGACGGTATTTTTATAATAGTGACAATTTGATTATATAATAAAAATCAATTTGGCAAACATAGTTTTCAAATATGTAGAACTTTTGATATCTGAATTATGTTCACATTCCAAAATCTATCTATATTAAATGAATAATTAACAACAAAAATAAAATGCCTATCCAATAATACAAGCCTTACGATCATCAAAACACAACCCTCGTAACTTAACTTTCTTGAAACATAACATAAACATTTAATTTTAGTTATATAAGACCAGTTCAATGTTTTTTCATGCTCCGAATTCTAACAGCTTTCTTCAACTCATAATAATAATAATAATAATAATAAATATAAAGAAATAATAACCTGTGTGAACCCTGAGCCTTGTACTGTCCATTGTGCTGTCCCACTCTATGTAATGAAACTCACTTTTTTTTTCCCTCTGTTTCTTCACTCAAATATAAAGAAAGGTGACATCTCTGGTTTGCCATGTGTAATCACCCTTCTGCGTCTGTCACACCTGCACCTTCCCCCCCACACTCCTTCCTCTGTCTCACTCTCTAACTCCAACGTTAGATTTTTTTCACAAAATCACATATTATATCAAATATTTAAATTATATTTTAAATATTTCTTCCTTTTCACCTTCACCCTACTAGGAATAAAAGAGAAAGTACTACAGTTATTCTGGTGGGAATAAGGTACGGGAAGTAAAGAAGTCCAAATATTAAATTTATGTTGAGAGTTATCCTTTTCTTTAAATGATTTTTTTAAAGATAGTGAATATTCATTAAAACAAGAAAAATAATTATTTATTCACTTCGTTTTAGAAAACCTTTCACATGACAAATTTATATTTTAGTTTCCTTATTTATTCAAATAACATATATTTTTCTGTTTCAGTTATTGTTCTCATTTCCATTCCCACTACTCAAACTGCACCTTCATGGCGTCCCTCACTCCCGGCGTCCTCTCCAAGCTCCTAGAGAATGCCGGCAGCAAGGTAACCGCCGCACACCGCCAGGCCCTTCTCCAGGTCACGGAGATCGTGCCGCGTCTCTCCTCCACCTCCGCCCTGCAGACCCGCGGCTACTTCATCAAGCTCTCCGACTCCCTCCACTCCGCCTTCGTCTCCGTCCCCGACGACGACGCCCACCTCATCTGCTCCGACAAGCTTCAGCTCGGCCACTTCGTCTACATCACCCGCCTAGACCGCGCCTCCCCCGTCCCCATCGTCCGCGGCCTTACCGTCCTCCCCAAGCGCCATCCCTGCGTCGGCAACCCAACCGAGCTCCTCCCCGGCGCGTCCCTCCACGCGCTCCAGAGCCAGACTGAGGAGGTGAAGAAGAGGGTCGCTGAGAAGAAGGTGGAGACGAGGAGGTTGAGTTTGGACTCTGCGAGAAGGGTCTGGGATCATAGCCCTGTTCGCAAGGAGAAAACCGGTTCTGCGAGTTCCGGTGGTGGTAAACTCAAGCACAAGAAATCCAACCCCACTTCGCCTAACGTGTGTTGCTGTTCTTTTTCTGCTGTTTTCTTCTTCTTTCAATCATTTACTCACATGTGGGGATGTGTGGAGAATAGAAGGGAAGAAAAAAGAGGGAAAAGGAAGTATCTTTGTTTTTTTTTGGTAGAGAGAAAAATTATTTTTGTATGTGGGAATGAATTTTTTAAATTCAAAATTTTTAATGGACTTTCTTTGTTTTTCATTCACCGTTCCAAGTTCCTATTTTGGCAGGGAGTATGATGGATGGAAAATAAGAGAAAAATTTTAAAATTTGAATTGACATGGAGAGGAAAAAAGGATTTTTTATTTATCAAATAAATATTTTTTTTTCTTTCACTTTTTCTTCGAGTAAAAGATCTGAACTGCATTTAAGTTTGTGTTTTATTTTAAATTCTTAGTTTGTTTGGTGAATGAAAGGTTTTTCCTTTTGGATCCCTTGGGCTGTTTGTTGTAAATTTTGCATGGGTTTTCTATGAAGGGGTGGTTTAATAGAGGGTTTGTCAGGGAGTGAGTGAGTGTGTTCTTATAGTATGTATTTGATGGCGGACATGTTATAGTAGTCATTAAGTTGTGTTCAGCAATGTCCCAAGTTTAAGGTTGTAGATTTTTAAGGAAACGTGAGGTTGTCGTCCCACTGCTGAATGTTGTTGTTTTCCTTTTGTTAAATCACCGTTTTGGATAAATGGGGGCCCTCTTTTTTTATAATTTTTTTGCGCTTTTAAAAGGCTTTAATTTCTGTTGTTGTGGACCACGGCCACAGGTTTTTCTTCGTAAGCTTTGAAACGTTGTCAATTTTTTTTGGCAATGAATTATGTAAATGTGTTTCGTGAACGTTTGAGGTCAATATGGTAGGGCCTTTGGTTGAGGGTACTTTTGAGGGTGCTACAAGCTCTGATGTCTGCACTGCATGTAGCAAGATTTTAACACTTTTACTCTGATGTTGTATGAGACAAAAAGGTTTATTTTTATGCGTCGTTTGTTGTGTTTTAGCTTTCTTGAAGCTTATTGGGGGTACATGGTGTATGATGCTGTAGGTGATAGACAAGAAGCTTTCTACTAAAGCTGATTCTCCGCTAAAATCTCCAACTTCTAGTGTCTCACCCTTGAAGAAAGAAAACGAGAATCTGTGTCCAAAATCATTGACAAACACTCCTCTGAGGAAGAGTACTGGCAGTAGGTCACCCTGTGGTGGCACTGTTCATACCCAACTAGTAAAGGTTCCCCTCAATTTCAAGACTTGGTCTTACGATACTCCTGAATCTTGGGATGATCTCTCACCCTCCATGTGTGATCTTGCAAAGGTATTGAACTGGGTTTGTGTCTTGCTAATATTCAAACTTGCTCGCAACCATCTCTAGTTTTTGAATTTTGTTGTGTCACTCTTTTGCAGCAAGTTGTAGGTCATAGAAATTTTACTTTTTTGGTGGCTGTGCGGTCTCTTGAAGAAGCATCTGCTACAGATACTGTGATCCAATGCATGTGGTATTTATTTATTTAATATTTTTATTGTAGACAATACAGTTCTTATGTTTTTGTCACCTCATTCTGCGCTTCCTTCTTCTCATTGGTATTGGCCATACTTATGTCTAACAAATGCATATTATCTGTTCATGCAGTATTTATAATATTGCATTTAATGATATAATGAACCTAAACACTTTCTAATTTCAGAAAGCATTTCTAGTTATTAAAATACAGAAATGCTTCTGTTACTGTTCGTTTCAAAATATGGTTAACTGATTTCTGTTGTAAACTGTACCTGTACCCCTTTCAGTTTTAGGGTACAAGTTGTTGTGGATTTTATCTTTCTAAATGTGTCACTATTTGAATGTTATTTCAACTAAATTTCTTGCCAAGCAAATATCATGACAAGTCTTATTGTTATTCCATCACTATCATTGTCACTTGTTGATAATCAGAACTGGAAGGAAATTTCTCTGTTTTCTAATAATAGCTTGTCTGGATCAGCTTCTTCAGGGAAATAGTTGTTTCTTTTCTGAAGCTATCTTAAAGTGATTGCTTTTCTTGAAGTTAGCTAAACACAACATGCACAGAAACATACACATTGTTTTTTCGTCCTTTGGGTAAAGATGAGCTACTAGAATGGCTTTATAATTTTATCGACTGAGATGAGGCATTCTTTCTCAGCATGTTTGCAGAACTTTGCAAGTCATATCAAACACATTCTGCTGGATCACTTGTGAAGCAGTTTTTGGAGCTTCACCTGAGTTTGCGGAGAGTTTTAGTGCTGTTTGATTCTTTACTCACCCCATTTCCCGAACCAAAGCCATGTGGCCACTCTACCCTGCAGTGTGCAACAGAAGATGCTGGCAAAGTTCCCAGTGGAATGAATGCTATATCTTGGGTACAAGCTGCCATAGGTACCAATCTTTCCAGATTCAATCTATTTGAAAAACAGGTGAAAAGTGAGGTTCTGAATGATGAGAAATGTCATTATGTTGTCATTGAGAATTCTCCTGAGGACATCAATACTGAGAATGCAACTGCTCAAAGCAAGCAAAACCGAGCAACTCAAGCAAGTCCCTTACCGAATTCAATTGCTAAAAGGCTTCCTTCTGCGAAGCGGAAACTCTTGGCAACCAAGAACAAGGATGCTGCCAAGCAGGATCAATCAAAAGGAATTGAAATAAAGGTGGCTGTAAGTTTGGCTGAAAAACTGCTCGAGGCATCTAGTGAATGGTTCCTGGAGTACTTGGAGGAGTCCCTACGGAATGAATTTGGGTTGAAAAATGAAGTGAACACTGAAATTGCAAGTCTTCTCGGACAGCTCAAACAGGTGAATCACTGGTTAGATAATTTGGTTGGTGGAGATAAGGTCGATCGGAGAGTAGAGAAGCTAAGGAAAAAATTGTACCGGTTTCTACTAGAGCATGTTAATTCCACTATTGCTTCTAATTAATAAATGTGCAATAACACAATGACTAACAAAATTGAGAATATGGTGATTACTATTCTCAACTGACTCTGCATTGGACAGCTGACATTGGTATTACAGTGAAGATTTAAAGTTATAAGGTCTCTGTATAACTACTTTAATTAGGATCTTAACCCCTGTATAATTTAATTTAACTTTCTGGCTGAACAAAGTAATTCCCAAGATTGTACTATTTTTGAGCTGTATTCTATGATAAGGATATGTCATTACTTACTATTATTGACTGTAGATTTATGCTGTAATTTATTTTGGATTAACCTTTTGGTCATTTGTTTCCAAAACGGTATTTAAGCTAACCTTAGAAATCTCAAGTACACTCTTAAGGTGTAGTGTATGAGCAAATGCCATTCTTTGCGTTTATTGGCTATAAACCGTTAATTCTTGGTTTGTAGTGTTGTGCCAAAAGGTTGGCTTTTTTCTGTGGTGCAGAATGTTTTGGTTTCGTTTTCAAGACAAAAGAATAATCGTGCCAAAGGGTATGGTAGAGAAATAAAGAGACACTGATAGAGACATTTTATAAGAGCACTAGGACCAAGTGTGAAAACATCAAAATTCAAAAGCTAATGCCTTCTGTGACGAAGGTATACTTTGATATTTTAGTTGGTCAAAAAGTAATGTGTATGGGATGAAGTTGATGATCTCGGAAGCTGTGCCTCCTCAACAATTGGAGCTGACTTTCCCAAGGCTTTCATTCCTTTACAAGACTTCATGTGTTTGTACATTTTCTCAGGCTTAAACGACTTCCCACATTGCCTGCATCATCAAGTCCTATTTATGGTCTTTCTCATTGATGATTATGATAAAAACGTGAAATTGAAAGTGTCTCGAAACATATGGGCATCAAGTACATAGCTCATACATACTACACTAACTACTCACATTTAATTGAGATGCATGAAACAACTGTGAAATCTTTAACACTATACCCCGCAGCCAAAAGTTGGTAAACATCACAATCTGCTAATAAATGTCAACCCTTTTTTATATTTTATATTTTATTACAAGAAAATCTAAATTATGGATTTTGACTAGACTTATACAACCACCACCCTGAATCTTCACTTCACTGGCCTTTTTGTTGGAAACTTTTGCCACTTGTCGTTTCAGTATATATGTTTTAATTTTGTTCATACTTATTAGACTAATAACAAACAGTCTAGTGCAGCTTTTCTGGTCTCCATGCACCTCATTTAGCTGAGCCTCAATCAGGTCCTGACAAGTCCTAATATTGTAATCCTATTGATCTTCAACAGAGCTAAAACATCTTCCACAAATATAACCGTGAGTTTTCATGCAAAGTTGCTTCTCACCATACTGTTGAAATGGTAATAATTGAAATTATATTCAAGAGGTGACATTTTGAGTCACTTACGAGCAAATTGGTCCACCAAATGGTTTGGAAGAACCTTGATTTAGCAAGTCGGCTAACTTTTTCCTGCTCCTGTTTGTTTCCTCTCCATCAAAGCTTTTTCTGCAAACAAGAAAAAAAAATGAGTAATCAAGAAGCAACCAAGTAGATAATAATATTAGGATCATTATTTTAAAATATATTCAAAGTTCAATTGATACCATAACTCATCACCTTGCGCCATATTGCTGTTTCTGGTCTTGATGACCCCAAGAAGTCCTAAAGCACCTCTCTGATCCTCCCAATCGGTCTCCCTTACAAATCTCAGCTTTTGTTTCAGGTATGTTGCTGGGTTCCTTGGAAATTTTTGTTTGAGCCGGGTTCATCATGATGAGTGCTGCATCATTTGTTTCCACAGTTCCACAAGTGATCCAATTTCGAAAAATATTAGAAACTTTGGTAGAATTGCTTCTGATCTTAGTGAAGGATGATTGAGATGATGATGTGGATATGGTGGACAGGGATGAATCAGGTGAGTGAGTCTTATTTTGGTCATCTTTGTGAGTGCCCTTCTTACTCAACAGATTGTGATACAAGGAAGGCAATGAGAAAGTCTCTAATTTCTCCTGGTGCATTTCACTGCCTGTTGTGATCTCTAAGTGCTTCTCTTCTTCAACCTTAGAAGAGTCATCATCTGTCACAGAAGACCTGTCTGAGCTGAAGACCAACGAGTCCTGACTGATTTCTGATGACCCTTTTGTTGGAGAATTTGTCTTCGAATTCTGGTCTGGTTGAATCTGAGATTCTTCTTCTGCTAGAGACAGTGGCGGCTGCTGCTGCTGCTGGTGTTCTTTGTCCTCTACAACTTGTAATTGAGGGCAGATCTTTTCAGCATGGATATCACAACCTACAGCTTTCTTTTCTTCCAGTGAAGGAGTTGTTGCTGCAGCATTATCCAAAAAGTTGTCCAACTTAATGAGGCTTTTGACATTATTGGAAAAGTGCAGAATGCTTTGGAAATGTCCATGGATAGAAATTATGGGTGGCCATACTGAAATATTAATGAGAATAACAAAAGTGGGAATAGAAATTTTCTCTAAGTACATACCAAATGGGGTAGTGTGGATTTGTGATCCTTTGAGGATGTATTCATTGTCAGAGATGGGGGTTATGAGGTCGTCATCCAGCAAGTCTTGCCACACATATCCACTCTTGTACCTTCTGCCGTTCAATAATTGTTAGTTACAAATTCATCACAACGCACACATATGGTTAAAGGTTAAAAAAATGAAGTATAGAAATGGACCCAAGCAAGGATTAGGAGGGTATCACTCAACCTCTTGTAGGACCAAGAAAATGCCTCAGGCAAGTCTTTTCCTCTCAATTCCCCAAGCCATCTCTTGACATCTTTTCAGGAGATAAATAAAAGGCAATACCGTTAGCTAATAAAAATCACATTAATCACAGCAAAAATGATCCATCAACACCTAGAAAGAGATTGTAAATGTGAAAGGTAATATGATGTGACAAGAGAAAAGATAGAAACCAAGAGTCTGAAATGTAACAAGTGTCTGCATTTCTTTACTCTCTATTCACATCATCTTATGCGTAGTGCACCAGAAACAACAATATGCAGAAAAGGAAGCATCGAATCGAACAAAGGAAACACAACACACCTCTAAGATAAACCCCATTACGAGTAAGATGAAGAACACGAATTAGATGAGGATGATCTGCACGACCACCTATCTGACTGAGGAAGTAAACGATGTGAAGCCTTCTCACTTCTCCTAAAGCTTTGCCTTCCATTTCAATTTCTCTTGGTGTGTTATTCTTCTTGCTTTTGCTGCAGTAAACACCAATACCCTCTTAACAAAGGAACCCTACAAGTACTCTTCTTTTGAGGAACAACACAAAGCACCCTCTATTGTTTAACTCAGCTATCTTCTACTATGCTTCAAAATATTATATAAAACGTAGAAAGCAGCAGCTAACATTGGAAAACACACAACACAAGAGATCTTTGTCTCTCTGCCGGCCTGCGACACAAGGAACTGAACTGACATCACAGCATGCAAACCTTCATGTGAAATAAAATATTCACAAATTTCATATCATTATCATATAATATATGTTTAAGATAATGCAGGCCTGCTAGGTAGCTACATGAGCATATATGCATGGAGTGCTTACTTGTTCTTATCTTCTAACAAGAAAACAAAAGCATTTTATCTCCCTAACATAGACAAAAGAATGAGAAACATCGAGACCAGAGAATACCAAGCAAGTGATTGGTTTGTGGACTAGAACGCAGTTACCTTTACCTCTTCTTTCTAACAGAAAAAGCAGATAGAGAGAGAGAAAAAAAAGTGTGCAAGAATTGACCAGGGTTTGAGGATATATAAAGATGTAGTTACAGAGGGATAATCTGATTTCTCGCGATTTAAGAAATCATATAATAAATGTATTATAGTCAGCTTTTGACTTAACATCATTGTTCCCTAAAAAGTTCTTTTCTGTTTCTTCTTTTTCTGTTTCATAGAGGGATGGTATGAAGAAAAGAGAGAAAAAGAATGAAAGAAAGATAATTAATGTGAGAATTAAGATTTATTGTTTGACTCAGAAACTAGAAAATTAAATTATTTTATTTCTTTTTAATAACTTTCTTTATTGTTATTATTATAATAAAAATTATGGATGTTGAATAATAGCACAAATAGTATTGTTTTGGAATATGTTGAATAACTGCCTCTACATGTCTTTTATTATATTGTTTCTTTTTTTCTCTAAGTGTTTAATGTGCATACTATTATTACACATACTTGCCTATAAAATTTTTCATACCTTTTGCATTGGAATAATTTTGATAATTTATTATTATTATTATTATTGTCATTGTTGTTGACTTTCTCAAATTCAACAAACAGAATTCATGGATAAACCAATTAGAAACTGAAATGTAGTCCTAATCAATTATTAAAATTATTGATGATTAAGAAAACATACCACTTTGACTTGGTCAAATAATTAAATGAAATGGTATATTGAATTTATTGAAAACTATTATATATATATATATATATATATATATATATATATATATATAGTATATGATAATTAAGAAAAATATTAAAAGAATAATATTTTATTATTATTTTTGATGTTTTTGTTATAAAACATATTATTCTTTTCATTTTATAATTTTATTGTAAAGATGCAGCAGCATGATTTGGAAACATATTATTTTGTGAATAATTAAATTAATATTTTTACAGAATAATTAATACAATTTTATTTTAAATTATTCATATAACGAATACCAATGCTTATTATATATATCAATGTAAACGATCTATAATATGTGAAATTGATTATCACATTCCCAATATTAAATCTTTAAAAGAAATATTTTGTTTATCTATAATTTAAGAATTCTTTTAATATTTAAAAATGAATACTTAATATAATTAATACTAGAAATGTTATATATATATATATATATATATATATATATATATATATAAATAAAGTGCCTCCATAAATCTAAAAGTACGTTCAGTTTAAATATTTTATAAAGGAAACGTACACTTTTTTCTTTGTAAGAATAAGTTTAATGACACGTTTTAGCAGTAATTTTTTTTACAAATTTAAAGAATTATGACAAATCAATAGCCATACATAATAGTTTGTGATAATATAACGGCATAAAAATATAATACACTTTTAATTCTCGTAATATTTTTTCTAAAAGAAATGGACATGAAATTTATTTACGAAGATTCTTTTTTGTAAGAGATTTGAACATTAAATGATAAAATGAAGAATAATAAAATCAATTGATATTTTAACAATTTTAGACTTTATTTCACATGTATTAAGAAATTAATGCATTTTATCACAAGAACCCTACATTTCAAGAGATTGGGACCAGGTTTTTCTCTCACACATTTTTTCTTAACATATAATTAACAAATTTTTTTCTACGTATAGAATAATAATTACAAATTCAATGAAAAAGGATATAAAATAAATGAAGGTGTCTATTAGACAAACTTTTTCGATCATAAATACTTTAAAGAGAAAAAAAATTATATGAATTTCTCCGTGAGTTATTGAAATTAATTTATTCATTAGTTGTAATTTGTACAATCTTCATGTAATTTTTCTGATTTTTAGTTTAATTTGTATTAAACTAATTACTTAATCAGTTTTTTATTTTGTTGCCCATAAGAAATTTAAATTGTTTATGTTTTGCTAGCAGCCTAACACAAAGATGCACCCAAATGCAACCAAAAAGAAAAGCAAACCATGCTTATAGAAAACCAGTTTGACCTAATTTAAAAACACAAATTGTTGAAGACAAATAGATGACAAGAAAGACTAGAAAGTGTTTGACAATTTGAAAATACCAAATGGCAATATTGGCCAGCAAATACAAGAACACTATACAGAATAATAATCATATAAAGTGAAAGTGGAAAAAAATATACTAAAAAAATTAAGAAAAACATCAAACATAATGGTCCAAAAAACAAAGGATTTTGTTGAGATATTGACCTTTTCATGATGTGTAGATCCTCCTTTGTATAGTGTGAGTACCCTTTTGATGATTCCATTGCCATTGAATACATGACACATAAGTTTTGTTTTATCCCTTTTGTCATTCCTTCCTTCAACATCACATTGCAATTTTCATCACAAGATGACTCATAAATAAGTAGCTGAAAATACAAACTAGGAAACTATAATAATAATTCTCTGAAAATCATTCAATTAGAGATTGTCACCTTCAATGAAAAGGAATCATTCCATTTTTGTATCATCATGTCTAATATGGAAAACGATTTCTTCATTGAAGAACAAATCCAAAACGAAACATTTTTTTTTTACTTTTTTTTATATATTTGTAAAATTTTGATTTAGATTTTCAAAATATAAGTGTGTTTATTGTTCTCTGATTTCTTCTCTTTCGGTGCCAAGTTACCAATAATTTTGTTTGTGGAATATAGTTTTTCCCTTTCTTTTTCTTTTTTACATTTATGACTAATTAGCTATTGCATGATCTCTTATTTTTGCCGAAAAAGGAAAATAAATTGGGACCATATAGCTTAATTTAATGAATTGGATGAACAATTATAAAGATAAGGAAAAGAAAAGTAGTGAGCAATATTTATTAAATCATGTGATGTGAACCTAGCTTACTAATTTGAATTAAAAGTTCATGAAGAGGGTCAGCAAAATAATGGAAATTTTTCTGCTTAAATAACTCATGCATAGACAATTCAACAACCTATTCAAGTAATTAAAACACTAGTCAATTTAAAGGTCAATAATAAATATTTTTTTTATAACAAACATTGTAACAAATAACCAAGTGAAGATGCAAAACATGTATATATCATATCATGTATGTATGTGTACTTTACTATTTTACTGCATTCAGCATAGACATGTAATTTCACTCTTCTTAATTACATATATAACCCAAAAGAATGATATAGTGATATAAAAAAAGAGAGTCAATGAATCTCTCTATCTTCAACTTTACCAAACTTAATTATATTTTTGTAGTCAGTTCGATTATTTTTTGTATAGTAAATTAGGATTGAACTATAAAAGAAATTACTAAATATCTAATTCAATAAACTTAATTGAGCCAAATTATATATATAATAATAAAAATAATAAATACAAATGCTCCAAAGAAGATACAATATCGTATAAATCTCTAATTACTCTAATAAAAAATACTAATTAAAGTTTGAAGATTGTTTCATGTGCAGAGAAAAACAATAATGTCCGACATGTGTAAGATACATAAATTAAGCTTTAACTTATTTTGTAAGTACAATTTTATGTTTAGTAAAAATGAGTTTTATGTTTAGTAGAAGTGATTTTAAAAATAATGAAATTTAAAAGTCTAACTTATAGTTAATATATAAATTAAAGTTTTATACATAAAAATTCATTTTACAAACTTTACTATTTTTCTAATTATTCTTTTACATTATTTTTTCTAACTTCTCTTTAAAATTATGGTATTACCTTCCGTCTTTTCTCTAATTAGAAGTCATCATGTAGAGTACAACATATTTTAATCTAATCAATGATTTAGTTTAGAGTAAATATTTTCACCTTAAATTTCTAGTTGTCTCATTTTCTCTTGTATTTGCATGTGAGTTGTAAGATTTGCATGATTGAATAATTTATATGTTGGTGAATTAGTTTTTTTTTTCTTTTTTTTAACAAGTTTAGACTTTTTTAATTTCTTTAAATCTTTTTTAGTGAGATGTGAGATAAAGAAAGTTAATATGATTCATTTAAGTTGAGTTGTATTTCTATACTCTTAATTGTCTCATATAATTTAGGTTAGAAGCCAAATGTAGTTTAAATATTCATTTTTTATTTTATCCTTCGATTTGTCTTTAGAGAAAAAATTGTGACGGAACTCCAGACTCTAAAATAGATAAAACCTTGGATGCACAGTGATTGACCCCAACGAAGACAATTAACAAACTTTGAATCAGAACATTGACATTCATCGTGGACCGAAAACCAAGTTCTAAAATTTTGGTAAGATATGAGTCACTAAATCAACAATTGATGTTAGAAATAGAAATTTATAAAGTTAAAATACTTTTGTTATTTTATAAAGAATTAATTTGATGATTTTGTTTTGAATTTGAGAGTCCATATGAATTTAGAAATACAAAACAATTGTATACATGTTGATTTTACGATGATTTGATTGAGATTAATGATATTATATCATGGTGTTTATGTTTTATATGCATAATTTTTTTTATTTAATAATATATTTTTTCAAACTTTTAAGCAAAAGTAAGAATGGGACAAGTTTATCTCTTTTGATGAATTTTTTTGTACAAGTGATTGTTTTGTCACTTGAGTGAAAATTGAAATAGGACATCTCTTTTCTTGAAATGTTTCTTGCTCAAGCAACAACTTGGTTATTCAAGCTAAAGTCATGATAAGACAATGCTCTCTCCTTTTTATGATTTTCGCAAGAAAAAAACCAATTGCTTAAGTGACATTTATGTGGTAAAAATGTTGAGAAAAGTCGGTCTGGGTCGAAGAGTAGAGTCAAGTCATTGTAAGCATAGCGTTGAGCTAAGTTAGCCTAGGTTGGAAAATTGAGTTGAGCCAACTCAGGCCAAAGAATCAAGCAGAGTTAGTCTAAGTCAAAGAATTGAGCTAAGTCTGTCTAAGAAGAAGAATCAAGCTGATTCAACTTAAGCTAAAGGTCAAAATCTGTTAGCTTGAGTTGAATATTGAGACGAGTTAGCTTGAGTCTGAATTCAAGACGAGTAAACCCAAGTTGAAGCTCAAGTCGTGTTAGCCAAAGTTGAAGTTCGAGCCAAGTTAGCCCATGATGAAGGTTGATCCGGGAAGGTAGAGTCAAGTAAGCTTGGGCTGAAAGTCAAGCCGAGTTATCATGGACTTAGGTCAAGTCGAGTCAACCTTACTAAAGGTCAAGCCTAAGTTATCCGAGATGAAGGTCAAGCCAAATCGACCTAGACCGAAGGGTCAAACTGAGTCATCACAAGCCTAAGGTCAAGCCAATTTAAATTGATCCCAAGTTGAGTTGACTCAGCCCAACCCAGGTGACACCGAATCGACATAAACCCAAGTCGTGTCAAATCAGTTTCGCATAAGTTGTCTCAAGTCAGTTCTTGCTGATGTTGAGATGAGAATGCTCAAATACAAGTTGAGCTGAGTGAAGCAAATCCAAGTTAACACAAGTCGACTTGAGTCTAAGTCGAGCGAGTCAGCCTGACCATATCTAATGGACTTAATAATTAATAATCATGTATATTAGATTAATCTCATTGAGTTTAATCTAATTGATAAAGTAGATTGGTCTAATTAAAATTGGATTGAAAAAAAATCATAATTAATTTAATTAAAATAAAATTGGATTATATAGATTATTTTATTAGATTTAGATTCGAAAAATCCAATCCATGATGTACTTTCCTCATAATATCTAGTACTCCAAAAAGAGTTAAAAAGTTCATACAACCTGATTTGGAATTATTTTTTTTGGATTACGTTACTCGATTTAAATAACTAAACTAAATTTTACACTCAATGAAGCTTAAATTCAAAATGTTCGAGAATTGATTGAAAAAGAAGTAAAAGAAATTGGCATTTCCTTTCATAAAGTTGTATGTTTTGATTGAAATGTCCAAACTAGTGGAATATATATTATACTTATAAAAAAAACATTTTGAAATAAGTGGGAGTTGATCCAAAAAAATTTGAGATAGATAAAAAATATCCTAAAACTTAACTTCTAAAATGTTATATATGCTTTTTTTTCATTAGCAACAAAACGCTATTTTTAACAAAAACCTCAAATTTACATTCTTAGAAACTCTTTTGTTCATTAAAAAAGAGAAAAAGAAAGAGAGGGAACTTTATGATATTTATAATGTCNAGTCGAGTCAACTTTACTGAAGGTCAAGCCTAATTTATCAGAGATGAAGGTCAAGCCAAATCGACCTAGACCGAAGGGTCAAACTGAGTCACCACAAGCCTAAGGTCAAGCCAATTTAGAATGATCCCAAGTTGAGTTGACTCAGCCCAAACCCAGGTGACACCGAATCGACATAAACCCAAGTCGAGTCAAATCAGTTTCGCATAAGTTGTCTCAAGTCAGTTCTTACTGATGTTGAGATGAGAATGCTCAAATACAAGTTGAGCTGAGTGAACCAAATCCAAGGTAACACAAGTCGACTTGAGTCTAAGTTGACTTGTGTCTAAGTCGAGCGAGTCAGCCTGACCATATCTAATGGGCTTAATAATTAATAATCATGTATATATTAGATTAATCTCATTGAATTTAATCTAATTGATAAAGTAGATTGGTCTAATTAAAATTGGATTGAAAAAAAATCATAATTAATTTAATCAAAATAAAATTGGATTATATAGATTATTTTATTAGATTTAGATTCGAAAAATCCAATCCATGATGTACTTTCCTCATAATATCTAGTACTCCAAAAAGAGTTAAAAAGTTCATACAACCTGATTTGGAATTATTTTTTTTGGATTACGTTACTGGATTTAAATAACTAACTAAATTTTACACTCAATGAAGCTTAAATTCAAAATGTTCGAGAATTGATTGAAAAAGAAGTAAAAGAAATTGGCATTTCCTTTCATAAAGTTGTATGTTTTGATTGAAATGTCCAAACTAGTGGAATATATATTATACTTATAAAAAAAACATTTTGAAATAAGTGGGAGTTGATCCAAAAAAATTTATGAGATAGATAAAAAATATCCTAAAACTTAACTTCTAAAATGTTATATATGCTTTTTTTTCATTAGCAACAAAACGCTATTTTTAACAAAAACCTCAAATTTACATTCTTAGAAACTCTTTTGTTCATTAAAAAAGAGAAAAAGAAAGAGAGGGAACTTTATGATATTTATAATGTCTACACGTCTTTGCATTTTTTACAATGTTTGTATATCTACAACCTTGAAGTAAAAGAATCAAGTCATGAAGGAAAGCACACTCAGAAAACAAAAGAAGGAATGTATAGGTTTTACGAATTAGAGAAATAGTCAAATTTTTAGTTAACACTCACATTTTATCTCTCTTTGCAAACTAGCTATAAGAAAAAATCT